CATGCAGAGACCCATGATGCCCCCAACAACAGGGTCTCCAAATGCCTGGGGTCATGACTACCCAGGGGCCCTCACAGCAAGGCATGACACCACAGCAGCTAGGTATGCCACGTGGGATACCTGGAAACATTGCTCCGAGTGCCCTGCAAGAATTACTGCGCACCCTTAAATCTCCCAGCTCCCCGCAGCAGCAACAGCAGGTCCTTAACATCCTCAAGTCCAACCCCCACCTCATGGCTGCCTTCATTAAACAGAGGACAGCGAAGTACCAGGCCACGCAGCCGCAGCAGCAGCAGGTGCAGCAGCAGCAGCAGCAGGTGCAGCAGCAGCAGCAGCAGGTGCAGCAGCAGCAGGTGCAGCAGCAGCAGCAGAATCAGGCCATGCTGGGGTCCCAGGCAGGAATGCAGGCCATGGCAGCCATGGCAAACCAGGTGCAGAGGCCAGTGATGGCACCTCAGCAGCAGCAGCAGCCTCCTCCGCAGGCAGGGCCCCAGGGTATGGCAACCATGGGCCCCCAAGGCCAGATGATGAATGCTGCCCAAAACGGCAATCCCCAAATGTACCGCAGACAGCAGCTGCTCCGGTTGCAGCAGATGCAGCAGCAGCAGGCGCAGCAGCAGGCGCAGCAGCAGGCGCAGCAGGGAGGCATGCCTCAGGGCCACAGTCAGTTCCCCCAGCAGCAGCCGGGGCCAGCAACCTACTCCCAACTCCGTATGCAGCAGCAAATGGCTATGCAAGGAGGCGCGGGGCCCATGGGACAGCTCCCTCCCACGTCTCAAATGGGTCAGCCTGGCATGGGCATGGAGGTCCCGCAGAACATCCTCCAGCAGCGCCTGCTTCAGCAGCAGCAGCAGCAGCAGCAGATGCTAAAGCAGCAGATGGGCTCTCCAACACAGGCAAACTCGATGAGTCCACAATCTCACATGCTCCAAGGCCAGGCCCAGGGAGGAGCTCACTTACCTGGACAGACAATGGCAAACACCCTGGGAAACCAAGTTCGTTCCCCAGCCCCAGTGCAATCGCCCCGTCCGCCTTCGCAGCAGCCCCCGCATTCCAGTCCCTCCCCGCGGATACAGCCCCAGCCCTCACCTCAGCACGGCGCCCTACACTCCAGCTCTCCCCACCCCAGCCTTGGAGGCCCGATGTCGGGGTCCATGGACCAGGGACACATGGGTACACCTGAGCAGAGTGCCATGCTCCCACAACTTAACACGCCAAACAGAGGAGGGTTGAGTAATGACATGGGTATGGTTGGTGACCCGACAGGAGACACGCTGGAAAAATTTGTTGAAGGATTGTAGCATTTTTGGACAGAAGAAAGGCCTTGTTCTGTTTTCAGCGGAGACATTTTTGTACTTGCTGATGTAAAAAGCTAAAAGAAATACAAACAAATGAGTCATACGAGGCCTACAGACTGTGAACTTTCCTTAAACCAAGGGACTGCTTTTTCTTCCAACCCAGAGAGTGATTTAAAAGAAGACGACAAAGAATATATTTTTGGTTCAGACCAGCCATGCAATAATTTGCGATGGTCTTTGTGTTGTTTTCATTTGTTTTTCATTTTTTATGCTCTGGTATTGACTTTTTTTTAACAAAACTTCTCAAAACAAAAAATATTTCATTTTATTATTCAATTTTTTTTTATTTTGTACCTTTGCAAATTAATATCGCATTTGTGTTGAGAAGACTGTAAAATTATTTGTCTGGGAATTTTTTGCCAGGTTTCACTTCTTGCTCAGTTCCTCTGTTCCTTCCTGGCTAATTTATTCTAAAATGCCATTTTTCAAAAAGGACTGCCTTTGGGAAAGCCTTAATTTCTTTCCGGTTTGCAGAGTCTATGAAATAAATGTAATTGTATAGATCTAAGAACTATTGCACACACCCAAACACAAAGCAAGTGTAAGACAAATCTGCAATGAAGCTTGTTAATGTTCACAGGTGCCGGAATGTTCTTTTTACTGGCCTGGGCCCAGTATCTGTCTTGCAAATGTTTAAAAAATGCTTTGTCTCTCGCTGAGTCAAAGGAAATTCTCATTCGAGTCTCTTTTGCCTGTGGTGGGAAATTAACTTGTTTGACTGCTGATTTGTGTTCAGAGGGTTTTGTGCATCATTTTCTCTCTTGCATTAAACTTGAATTGATGGTGAACTGTTCTCTAATGTAAATCATGCGGCTAGACAGTACTGTAAATATGCAGAAAATAAGAAAGAAATCACTGTACAAACTGGTTCAAATGGCTCATTTCGTACTTATATACCATATTGTTAAATAAACCTGTGTGCCACAGACTCTGCTTTGAATATTTCTGTTTGGAAAGACTGATGTTGTGTTCAGCATTAGGATCGGAATTATTTCATATTTTTATTAACATACATCCAAATGATTGATCAATCATTTAGTATGTGAAACACTCAAAAAAGTAGAACACCCCAAATCACCAAGATGATTTGCTTCACCTTACACTTGAAAACGCCAAGCAACTCTATGTGCTTTAATGTAAGCCAAGGAAAAGCTCATTTAATATTGACTGCTTTGAAAAAACGATTTCCAAATAATAACGAAATATAAAAAAGGCAGAAAAATAAGCCAGAGTTCCCAACTTATTAAATAATCGTTTCAGGTCCAATCAGCATTAACTTGAAACATAATTATACATTTTTTCCTCAGATTTTATCAGATGACAACTGTTTGACCTTGAAGGTCAAATTAACTGAAATGTATCAATGATATAATAAAGGAGGGTACTACATTGATACATATAAAGTGCTAGTATGTTTTTTTCCAATGCATATAAACTACATTTTAATTTACACCTATATCCTTTTTTAAATTACATTTTAGTCTGTGTAAAATTTTTAACTTTACATCAGGCAGTGTGATGGACACCCTAATGACGTCATTACATGGCGCCCTCGCTGGTCCTTCTTTGCTAATATCGTCCGGCGTGTGTCCCTCGGTCAGTCGGTCAGTCGACTTGTCTTCTTGTCCCTTGTCTGTCAACATGTCCCGCTGCCTCGCGCTGGCCCGGTTCGCCCTCGGTTCCTCGAGGACCAACTCACGGCTGACGTCATGTGTGCGAGGACTCAGCAGCGGAGTTACCTCGCGCTCGTTCACTGGAGGTAAGCTGTGTTTATGAGCCGAGTTAGCTCCCATGCTAGTTGATGACAGCTGCAAGATCAAAGCATGGATGTATAAAGTGATGTGAACTCTGTCGGATGATGCCTTATTTACGTGCCTGCAGTCCAAGTCCACGAGCTACTTGTGTAGTCCGATTGCTCACTTAGGAGGTACAAAACTACAATATGAATTAAAACTAAGGAAGGGGTTGCTTATAGAACTCTGTTATTACATCATCACATCTGCACCTGCAACAGATTGGTGTTAAGGGATTTTGGCTGTCATAACAATTAAGACAGGCGACATGCCGGTGCTCTGTCAACTTATGCACCCCCGTCGTGAAATGCACCCCCTGGCCTGCCGTAAAAAGCACCCCCCCAAAAAGATGCTTCTATTAATCCCACCCTCAAGCACTTTGGAGGGTATAGTTGTAAGACTTGTACCAATAAATGGAGCAAGTTTCATGTATGTGACACGTTTATTGTCAGAGATAGCAAGGGGTGCAGATCGTGGCAACCAGCCTGTTCATTAAAAGCACCCCCCAAAATAGAAATGCTTCTAATAATCCAACCCTCAAGCACTTGATGTAAAAATAAACAATACATTGTAAAGCACAAGCGCAAGTATACAGACAGGACGTCACAATTAAATAAGTGACGATTGAATGCAAAATCCAGGATTCGACGATCCAACCATCAAAAAGACAACATAGAATAGCGGACTATACGTTCAAATGCACTTTCCCGTGTCAAGGGGTGCATTTCACGACGGGGGTGCATAATTTGACACAACACCTGCATCAATATCCTAAACTTTCTATCACCTAAGAGACGCAACATCAGATACAAATCTTAATATACATGGCAAGGTTACAGGAAAACTCCTAGTTAAGAAGGTAAAGCGAAAGGTTTCCGAAACCTTTGTAATAAGAAAGATGATAACCTCCTAATGTCAATAAAGTAATTGATTGCTGTACTCATCTTTATTTCCTTGATGTGAAAAGATCCTTTGCAAACTGAAACAGCTGGCATCACTAAACAGCTGTCCTAAAAGGTTTCTCATATACTTTGCTGTAAGAAAGAGAGAGTAGTATCGTATCTATTCTTCACGCTTTTTTACTGGGTCTTAAGATTGTTCTCTAGTGTAGGTTAGGGCTGCACGATATTGAAAAAAACTGACATTGCGATATTCTTTTCCCCTGCGATATATATTGCGTTTTTTTTTAACTATATTTAACCGGATGAAGGATTTTAGTCACGGACGTCTGGATCTTAACTGGTTGACTCATCCTACCTTAAGTCATGATCTAACATGTCATGATAATGCATGTTTCTTACCCTCAAATAAGGGGGTTCATCTGTGAATGAAGAAGAGTGGTGTCTAGAAGGGATCCAAGAGATTAAACGTATTACATTCAACTATAGGAAGCTTCATTATCCCATTAGGGAATTAACATACTTGACCAAATAGGTAATTTAACTTTTTA